TTCTTCTTATATTGTTATTGTACAGTGTCTTTGAGTATTCAGAAAAGCGCTTTTAAATAAAATGTATTATTATTATTATTATAATTATTTGCTGAAATACATTTTTGACCGTTATCTGAAACTAAAACTCTCTCTAAAAGCCTGACAAATTAAATTATTTAACTTGATACACATGATGCATGTATATACTCAGTGTGACTCAGTGAGTCAGTGAGTTCAGTATCAGTATCCAAGTAATCCAGTTAAAGTCTAAACACTGTTCATAGCTAATTAAAGAAAATTAAAATGATACAACTGAAATACATTAATCAATAAATAAAGCTTTTACATATTGTTTGCGTGGCAAATAACTTATAGACAAGACAGTTAAAGGCAAATATTGCCCTGATTTGTCAGCAAACCAATATAGTGGTCTAACCCTACTATAAACAACAGAGTTCTGGCATTATTCAGACCTATAATCTCAGTTAACTCTGACTGAGATTCTAGCTGTACTGCCTATATAGAAAAGCATAACAATAAAACACGTCTTCCATTCGACTTTTGGTGCAGGAGCATAAGATGTCTTCGAAACATCATCCACTGGAACTTGATCACCACCTTCATACTGAGGAATGTTATGTGGTTTTTGCTTCAGTTGATTGACCACAATATCCATGAGAGCAATGAGGTAACAGAACTGATTTATAAATCCATGAACTCTCTCAGCTATAAACAAGAAAGTAAATTCTGTTGCAATTTACGATTAATTTTGAGTCTTGTGTTTTTTTTTTCAGCCTTGGTGTCGATTAATTACAACAATATACAACTACTTTGTGGTGACAAACTTTTTCTGGATGTTTGTTGAAGGATGTTACCTTCACACAGCCATTGTAATGACTTATTCAACTGATAAGCTCCGAAAGTGGGTCTTCCTTTTCATCGGTTGGTGTGAGTATGTTCATGTTCACCTCACTCAGCTCTTGGTTGTGTGCGATGGTTCACAGTGTGGTACACCGACAACATTTTTAATTTTCAATGAACATAGTAAATGTGTGTGAGTGTTTAAATCTACTTATGCATGAAGGTTTATAAAAACCACCCTTTCCTTATTTTTTAAATCTTTTTTCTTATAGATTTTAATTAAACATATGAGAACAGGCCACAGAACCCAATTTAAACTCTAGTTTAACTTGATATTTCCTGGCCTCAAATACATTGCATTTTGTATACTGATATGTATTAGGTGTTCAGTCAAGATTATAAATTTGGTTTCTCATCTTAAGATTCATTGTTCTAGAGCTTTCAGTCATTTTGCATGAGCTTCAACGGCAGACTGCTCAGTTGTAATGAAAATGTAGATATTGAAATCTCTATATTCACTAAGCATCTTAGGGACTTTTCTCATTAATGTCGGGTACACTTTTATTACGTTTATTATTATTTTGTCGGAAACATGATGATTTTTTACATTAATCATGTATCTGCCCTAAATGGTCACATAATTGTTGAGTTACTTGGAGTCAGAATGCTGTGAAAAGGCTAGACCACAGTATTATGACATTTCTCCCCAATTCAAAGTGAACATTTACTTAAATATAAGCACTTAACTGGAAGTCTGGTCAGCGAGGTAAGTGGAGGAAGACCCTTTAGTGTGTCAGACTTGAGATAAGGCAGTGATTTCATAAGAAAACTGCAGCGAAATGTGGAAAATATCTTTTTTGTGCTTGACTTCCAGTGAAAGAATGAGTTTGGAACATGTAATTGATGCCCCGTCATGACCACATACATTTTCAATGCTTACCTTGATGTAAAGTAAGCATAGTGTCAGAAAATTCTATCATGAGGCAGAAAAAATGTACATGGGAACATGCTTGTGTGCTTTCCTGAGCCAGTCTGACAGTTTCTTTCTTTCTTTTTTTGTAATGGACATTGAGTGTTCTTGCAGGAAGAAAAATAAACATAGCTCTGCTGCATGTAGGTCATACAGCCGAGCTTTACAAACACAATAATGAAAAATAAATAGCAGAGGAGCAGATGACATATGATCGGTAATGACACATGGATGACATGATTGAGAAGCTCATATTGGCTTTAAAATGAAAGCAACCAAAGGCAGATATCACAAATCATTCTAGTTTTAATGATAATGTGATTCTTATGATGACTATCTGTGCAGTTTCCTCTTTGAGGAAGGTCAACTCATCAGTACTTGAAATTCTCTGCAGGTGCAGATTAAACTCTCTTTTAATCCAATGAAAAGTAACAGTTTTGTTTTCTGTAATTAATGTCGTCATCTGTGATATTCCATCTGTGAAAAGAATGCAGAATCATTTGCCTGTTGGGGTAATTCACCTTACAGCAGCAAAATAAGGTAGTAAAAGGTAGTAGTAGTGTACATGAGTATCAAATAAGTATGAAGAATAATTTGTCCACATAATTTATTAAATTAAATTCAATTGTTCTTTCATTTTTAGAACTGCAGCATTGGGGAAACCACACACCAGTGAAGAGCTTTCTCACTGTGCCACTGATATAAGTCTTGAGAGAGTGTTAATTAGAATTCATTAAGAAATGATGGAAGTGGGGCAGATTAAATCTGTCTTCCACCAGAGGCCTGATATTAGCTAGGATCAAAATAGGTTCAGACCTGTATTCTTTCAGCTCCATTAAAGGTCATTTCACTGACCATTTCACCTTTATGAACACATAATCCACTTTTTCTAGCTAGTTACAAAACCTCATGATATGTGGGCAGTTTTATTATAAACACGCGTGATTTCTGCACTCACTAACAATGTTCAGCTGGGATATGTTTTGCTCAATTGCTTGTCAGCTCACTGGCAGGGTGAGACAGTTGAGACTGAACTGCTTGTTTAAAAGGAGCAGACTTTTCTTGAACTGCAGTGCTTTGGGGTAGCAGTGAGATAATCCAAAGGGCTTCAGTTTTGTTTTACTTCCATCTTAATATATAGCAAAACGCAGCAAAAAGGTTCTGATGCAGCACAGTCTTAAAAGTGTAAAACATTTAAGCTTTGAAACCCAGACCACATTAACATGAGAACACATCAAGCATTGTAGATTAAAAAGTGAAATAGAAATCTCTGATGCATAGAAAGCACTTAAAAGCTTTGTCCGTTTCTTTTGAAGAGAGGATGACAGCACAGCAAGTTAAACTGGTTTTATTTTACCACAGATGATTCAACTAGACTTTTAGATTGAGATTTTATTGTATCATTTTGACAGATCACTGTTTAAATGTGGTCTAGTAGAGAGTACATTACATGAATGATGGAGAATGTAACATGGATTGTTGTTTTTCTGAGATGATTTAAAAATGATTTTAATAATGCTTTTCATACACATGCCATCTGTTTTGTCACTGGAAACAAATGCATCTCATATTGTTAAGTATTTCTCAAAGTGTAATATTAACAAAGTCTCTGAGAAGGTCAGAACCCATTTGTTTTTCAGATGTATGTACATATATATCCATTATTTCTCTGCTAAAACTATTTAAGGATAGTAGCTGTGGTTCCTGTTGAAGCCCTGTTGGTTAAAAACATACATTCACAACATCACCTTCATTATTCTGACCCACTCCCTCAACTGCTATTGAAAGGAAAAGCTGTATATAGGTCTCCAGATGTATTTTAGTGTGGATTATTATATTAACTCTTTTAAGATTTTAAAACGTGGACAGGGGACAGGGAAGAAGAGCATCAGGGTTTTATTATTCTCAACCTAATCTCTTAAATGTTAAAATAGAAGCTTTATAAAAGCTGAAAAAATCCTCCTCCTCACACACAAGCCCTCCATAACCAGGCCCCTTCCTACCTCACGGACCTGCTGCTATCGCCACAAATCCATCCGTAGCCTCCGCTCATCCGAATGCAACCTTGACTCACCACCAGGACCAAGCACCGAACCTGGGGCGACAGAGCTTCTTGTAGCTGCCCCCCTCCCTCTGGAACTCTCTCCCCCAAAAACATTAAATTGATATTTATGTTGAGCTTTTTTGTAACAATAACCTTTGCCCTTAAACTGTTGTCTCTGACCTACATTAATATCTTCATCACAGGTATTCCATGCCCTATTATAGTAGCCTGGGCCATAGGAAAGTTGTATTATGAAAATGAACAGTAAGTAGTAGTAGTTTACATCTAATATTTTCTTAAATGTTTTATTTAATTCAATGGTGTTGATTCTTTCTTTTCTTCTTTCAACAGATGTTGGTTTGGTAAAGAACCTGGGAAATATATGGACTACATTTACCAGGGACCAGTTATTCTTGTGCTTCTGGTGAGCAACAGCACAGAACGTCATTGCACTATAAATCCACGGCTATTATTTTCACACCGTTTGTACACTCATTTTACACTGACATGAGATTTATCACTAATGCCTGCATGTAGGTGTAAACTGATCTCCCCTGAATTGAAAATGGTTCTATAATGAAACCCATTTTCATCCTGCATCTAGCCTGTTGGTGGAATTAATCTTCCTGATGGGTTAAGGTATTTCCACTATAAGAATCTTAAAAATAAGAAACTATATTCATAAGAATGTATCGGCTAATGGTTATGTACAAGCTGGTACCAGCATTACGTAGTGCGGTGACCATTTCTGAAATGTCTGCTCATCTAACACTGTCTTGTTGAGAAAAAAGGCTGCTTTGACTTGTGTTGCTACTCCTCCTACTCAGCATTTAATGAGCAGAATCTGTTCCCAGCAGAAAGCGGCCCTTGTATTTCAGTGTAAGCCATTAGCACAGGGTTCAAAACTAATTATTTATGTGTTGTTTTTTTCCTAGATAAACTTTGTTTTCCTCTTCAACATAGTAAGAATTCTTATGACCAAACTAAGAGCGTCAACCACATCTGAAACAATACAGTACAGGTGAGTGTGGATAATTATATACAATATGGAAATGACATTTCTCCTTCTGTTGGCTCCTTCCAAGGACAACACGCAATGTTTCAAGGCTGTGAGAAATGCATGATCAGGTTTAAAGTAGCCGATTTAGAAAGCAGCCTAATTTCAACCTTTGTAATCAGTGCCAACATTTAATTTCTGACTTAATTTCATACAAATCCTTAAGCTTGATCCCTGAATACCCTCTTAGAGAGAAAATATATTTGGGGATCAAGCTCAAAGATGCTCAGAGAGAAGATATTTAGGAATTAGAGGATCCAAATGACAATCAAATAAAATCTGTGCCAAGTACTGTGATAGTAGGGATCAGTAATTGTTCTTATGGCTATTGCTGTGCCTCTTTCAGTCTAAATATTGCCTGTAATTGAAATTATTGTTGGTAAATCACCCTAAAAACCTATGTCTTTGATATTTCAAGCAAGTAAATATTTTTTTTGTTTCCTCCTAGTATTATACAGTACATGCTCAAAGGATGTTAATTAATTAAATTAAGGACAGTCTAAAATGTAATTTCTAATGTTTCAGTAATCTCCCGAAGAGCCTATGGCAGATATCAAGTTTTGCATTGATACAGCTGAAATGAGTTTGGACTTTGTTATAAAAATGCTCGATATGCTGCATGTCACAAATTGACCTGAGAGAGCATAAGATAGGCCACTTCATTTAGTCGCACTACTGTAGTAATCTTGGGGTCTGTGACAAGCCTTGATGAGTGAGTAAAGAGATTTGGCATGTGCTTGAGAGATGAAAGCTATGTGCAGTCCTGTGTCATGTTGTTCATCTGACCGCTAAATTGTGAGAGCGGTTTCTCACCTTTTACTTTAAGTGTATTTCTCCTTTGGGGGTGATTTAAAGTGTACATGTTGATTTAGAGTGTCACAGCTCAGACAATTTCAATTCAGGCTTTTTAGGCTAGAGTTGGATTTACGGTTGTTGTGTGACAGATATGCTGACATGATCCATGCAGATTAAAGTGAGTGGAAGACAGGAGTGTCAGGCATGAATCACTGACCTAAAAATAGAGCATAATGGATTCTTCAAAATGGTGCCGGTTTTACCAGAATTGCATGAACAATATAAACAGCGGGGTAAATGTGACAAGGAAAGATGGGAATTTCTGTGATCTTTCAGTTGCATGCTTGGCACAGCATGCAAAGTTTATGGGCAGAGAACATATTTTTGAAAGAATCTCCTCATATTTAAAACCCCAACTTAATTTCCAACATCTTCGGTTCATCTTTTTAACTAGCTTGCTAGCTAAATGATGATTGTAATATTTAGAAATGCATGATTACTAAATAAAAATGATAAAAAAAGGATCAAATGACACTTTTTGAAACCTGGCAAACCGCACTTTGCTCTTGTTAATTGATATCATGTAGTAAACAATAGTACATTATCTGTTTACCATTTATAAAGCTACTAGCTAGTTTATAAACCATTAATACAAAGTTTCTTAAAGGTCAGTGTGTAAGATTTAGTGGCATCTAGCGGTGTATTCATCACTCTCACCATCACATTCCAAGTGCGTAGGAGAAACTACTGTGGCCAAGAAAAACGTGAAAGACCAGTGTTTGGTTTGTCTCTTCTGGGCTACTGTAGAAACATGGTGGTTCAATGATTCTAATTTTCAGGTGATTATA